AAAACATTATTTAGAAACAATATACCTATCAGGTAGAATAAAACTTGAACTAAAATGTATTATATAAAACCTTAAGAGACACTTATGCCTTCCGTGACGCTATATAATCGATTTGAGATTAAACTTTAATCAAAAATCATGGATGATTAAAAAATGAAATGTACAAAAAATAATCAACCCAATGGAAAAAATGTAAGCCAGCCCATTGGAGGAAAAAACAAAATTTTCTTCTTATTTTGTAAGTCTGCTCTTAAGACTTGCAGAAGGGGTGTTATATCCCTGGCAATAATGTGCGGCTGCTGATGCAGTTATCACTGTAATTTAATTCAGGTATGGTACAGGTACATGTATATGTATATGTATATATATGTGGACAATCGTTAAAATTGTAGACTACCTGAATCAACAATAAATACAGCCACTGTATACAACGAATCGTGTGAGCTGTTTGGAAGCGCAGCTTTGACTGATCGCAGCTACACAGGCAACGCACGACACGCCGGAATCCCAACGAATCGGAGCGTCGCCTAGCGCGCTGATATAGTCTGAGCTGGCCCAGACTTAAAATTTTAAAACATAATGTCATTAAAGCTACTATCATCATAATTGTCATAACTATAGTTATTAACAAGGCAAGAAATTGTTTTAAGAAAACTATGAAACGTAGCGTATGGAAGAAATTTTTAAAACGCACCATCAACTCTATAGACACAAAATCCCCAGTTATTATAAAACTAGAACTAAAGGAGCGTGAACCAACTGAACTTCATGTTAAAATTGAGGAGAAACCAAAACATCTAAATCATCCAAAGCTCGACCTATAACAAAGTTATAAAGTTTGACACTTCCTCGTTATGCACCCCAAAAGTTGGTAATAGACTCGTTGGTCAATAGTCATTTAATACTATTCTTCTTTCAGGCATTATGATGAACTTTGACCCTGACACTGAAATAACAATAAAGACCAAAGTCAACATCGATCATCCTTTACATATAGTTATTAAACAATTAGAAAACAAGTATTAACTTAAAAAGACTTATGTATCTTTTACTATGGTATGTAGAAGTAGAAAAAGAAAAAGAAACTTTTTTAACAATTTTTCTCGATTTAGAACTCTATAATACTGCTGTGCCTTTAGACATCGACAAGAACGACTATCTCAAGGATATACGAAATATTCTCTAGACTCTCAAAGTGCTATTTTAGTATGTTGTGGAATGATGAACTCAACTATCACAAGAAATACGCTGAACCCCTTAAGAAGAGCGTAACATACGGCAAAAACACGAATTTAACTCATTCTATTGGTCAATAACAAATTGAGTTAATGTTATTAAGTTAATGACGTTACAGATACCTTATTTCATGCAGAAGACAACCATGTAAACAATTTTCAGAAATAAGGCCGACTTTTGCAAAAACTATTGATTTACGAGAGAAAATCATCAGTAACAGAAAATAAACACCGTAACAGAACCATAGAACTGTACCATTTAACAATCTACATCCTACGTCTTACAACAGGAAATACATCACCTTAGTTTTGAGATTTTAGTCTTGACAAAAAAAAAATAAATAAATAAATTAATTAATTAAAAAAGAAATCATCACGTATCTAGATATATTGCATTTTGAAGTATTAGTTTTACTGCAATTACTTAAATTATTCGTACAAAAAAGAATCGAAGAGAACCGATCGTTACTACGTATATCTACACGTATACCTTTCCATGGACACAACGTTACTCAAGAAGGTTTAGTTAAAAATTATTTAAATATCATCGATTTTCTACAACTTTTGAACAAAAATAATGATCTCAACCATATCAAAGTTTATTTTGTAGATTCTTAGTTTTTGAAACATTTTTTTCGCTATACGACAGATATTGTGGTAAAAAAATTAAAAAAAATTAGATAACGTTGGAACAAAATTATCTTTTCTTTTTTTTTTAAATTTCATATTGTAGGAGTTTTTTCAATAATTTTTTTCCAGACGTTGTTTCAAAAAAATAAACTCATTTGATTCCACAATTGAACACAGGCTTTCATGAGGGCCAGTTAATAAATTGTATTGAAACTACCATTTACGTAAATCACAATTTGTTAATCCTGTTTATGAAGTTTTCTTAATTAAAAATACTATAAATAAAAATTATAACAAAGTTACATTTGATGAAGTTTAATTAGTGACCCTCATAACAGCCAACGTTAAAATGTTAAATTAAATGATTTTTTTCGAAAATACACCTTAAAAGTAAATTTGAAAAATTAATATTCGTATAAATTATAATGTTCTTTAGAAAATCATTTTTGGTGTTACTGATAATTTTTTAGTTTTTTGTTGAGAGTTCCTTCAGCATTTCAAGTACTTCGGTAAAAATTTTTTATTTAAGCCTTTATAAAAGATGCCATCAGCAGGTGTATATCATGAGTTTTTTTTCGAAAATAGCAAAAATTATTTTGTTCCAACTTAGCACTTATATTAATTATTTATTCAAGTTATAAATTTTTTCGAATCTTAATTATTATACTTTTAGACCTTGTTCTTAGACTTCTGAAAACCGTTGAGTATATTTGCACTTACCATTATCTTCAATTCTTATATAATAATTTTCAGATAGTCCTGAGATGTATACAATAATTTTTGTCTCATATTTAAATTTTGAAAATCTAGAAACATAATTAAATTAAGCATTCTAAAAACATCTAGATAATGAAATATATATGATAAATAACTTATCATATATTAAATTATAGAAATATTAAATAACTATATTTGACCATCACAGATCTTGAGATTTTACAAAGCTTCGAGATGTACCAACACACATTAACTAGAAATCATTGACAACTTCTCATAGCTTTTATTACGCTTTAAATTGTTATTGCAGTTAACAATTTTTTTTTTTTACAGAAAAGGTTGCAAGATAAATGTAATATTACAGCAGTCTTATGTATAAAATCAGGTTAAAAGTCACAGTGTGAACACACGGTGTTCATAAAAACAGTAATAAGTATCATATTAAAAGACAAGGCAAATCCTCACTTAAACAGAAATACTTAGGTAGATCAATGAAATAAAAAAACCGTACCTTCGAACCACCTGATTTTAGTTGGCGTATTATAAAAAGAGATAAAACTAGGTCAGAAAATAGCTTCAAGATTTATAAATATCACTCTGCAATAATGAACACGTTAATTTACTTGTAATATTATACATTCTATCACTTTGGCACAGAAAAATGTCTAAAAAGACAACCACAAGTTTTAAAAAGAACTTATAAAGAGTTTTTTGACAATATTAGTCAATAGAGTACTCAAGTTTGAAAACTAATAACTTTTTTTTTTTTATTTGGAAATTTCAAACTGAACAGTAAGTTCAATACAAGTAAAATAACTTTAAGGTAGGAAAAATTGACTTTGCAAGTGTTTTGGCGCTTTAAAATCGCAAAATAACACAGCTTATAAGTATGCTTTGGCGTGACTATCAGATATAAATACTTGTGATTCAAATTTTTTTTACTCTCAATCGTTACTTCGTAAGAAATTTCAACTGGGTACACGAACATACTTGTTTGTAACTGTCAGCATTGTGTGACGAGGATTTTTCTAGCCAATAAACAGCCGCCCGGATTCTGTTCCGAAAATTCTCTCGTACGCCACTTACCTAGTTCCTACACACTGGATTCCTCTCCTCCAGGAGGTCTGCCACAGGTGTACTGCTCGGGGACTCCAAACACTCCTAAAAGGAAATGAAAAAGGAAAAAAGGGGGCACTAATTACGAATAAACAAAATCACTGACGTAAATTTTACAGCGCGCTCACGCTATTCATTCGTCCTCTACACACTCTCAAATATTACACACTTTTTCTTTCTCTCTTTTTTCTAAAAATATGAGCATTAATACACGGTGCCTTCAAGGTCAGTGTGCCACTCGATGTATGTGTTCTGGTCGTCCTCACTGTTGAACCTCTCCTTGGATCGGCTGTCAGAGGCCCGCACCTACTTTAAATACACAAGCATATACCCAGGCGCACCATGTAATGCACACTTCGTAACGGTCACTGTCCTCGCGCGCCACACTAACCTGAAAAATCTCGCTCACACTCACACGTTTCTAATATTCACCTTATCCCCACGTGAACTCGTACACTCGTTCGCTTGGATCCCCGGATACCTCTATCCCCGTACCTGACTCTAGTGTACTATATACCCAGTACCCTTATAATATCCTCACTATCACGTTGCGCTACCTGGAGCTCGTCCTAGTCGGTGGTGGCTTGGTCACACCGTTAGCTTCCAGTGATTCCCTTCGTGGCAGCTCTCCTCTCGTCTAGCTGGATACCTTCCTCCTCTACTTCTCTCTCTCTCTCTCTATCTCTCTCTCTCTCTCTCTCTCTCTCTCTCTCTCTGCCGTTCTCAGCTGTATAACCTGTCACTTTCCCTGTAATTCTTGACTCTAATCTCTACGCTCTGCTCTCCCTGATGCCTTATACCATACTGACTGTACTACGCAGTCAGTCTGCATAGGTGCGCATGCCCCTTCCTTTGCATCTGAAAACCACCAACGCTCATAAAAACCGGTTAATCGTTGGAGATATACAAAACTAAGTCCTTGACGTGATGAACTAGCCCTCGGTTTATTTCTGACGCGTAGCGAGCTTATCCATCTCCCTTCTCTCTCTTACACATACACTCACTCAACCACACCTCACACACATTCAACTTCTCTGGTTACCTTCGGTCCTTCTCTCTCCTCTTGGCTCGTAGTCTGTGTTGTTGTAAAAGTTTTGCGATAGCATTATATATAGATTTGATATAAAGTTAGTACAGTCTTTTTACGTTACTTAATACACGATGAATTCCACTATATTTGGACAGTTGATATAGAGCTTATGTAGCTTTAAATTATTTGTAAAAAATATTTCTTCGTTTAATAAAATTTGTACACTATCCGTTATCAACTATAATTAATACATGTATGTGATTGTCTTTCAGGTCCATTAGTAAAAATATTATTAGCTGCGCTGAATTCTTCAGGGTGGTAAGTATTCCATCTTACGTATTTGTTGATTTCACTCTGAAATATTTTCAAGTGGGTTAGATAGTAGAGATACATATTTAGCTTACTTTAGTTAGCTTTTACTCGAAGAAATGTCTTTCACTGTCGATAAAGACTTTCTTTGCATTTAAAACAACTAAAAAACTCCTGTTACTACATTAACTGTCCAACAATAATGAAAAAGTATTCTGATAGCTCTTTGCGCATCCCTTATGGCATAAGCACTTTAAACTTTTTTTTAAACAGCTTTTTATTGTGGGCGCAAAGTATGGAAAGTCCTTAGCACTTTTGACCAAGTATGAGTTTTAACAGAAAGTTAAACTTGCTTGGTATGGAAAAAACTGCGTGCCCATGTGTGGGTGCAATATAATTTGCACACATGCGCACGTAAAAAAATAATTCTGCTCAAATCATCCAGTTGTATAATGGAGTTGGAATGTTGCTTATTCTATGAATAAATGAGAAAGTTATTTTTAGGAGCTTTTAAAGTAATAGTCATTTATTGCAATGTAATAGTTGATAAAGTAGAAATCCCCTATTGAATTTTTTAAAACTACTGAAGTTCAGTTTGATAGTTACGACATGTAACTGTTCTCCATTACTTCGTAGTCGATCACAATAAATTTGGGCTTGATGTATTAGCAATTTTGTGCATTTTTCTTTATTTTTTATTTAAATAGGTATAAAATTAATGATTAATAAAAATTATTGAAAGTAAGGAGTCAAAAAGGTAGAAACTGCCGATTATATATTGAATTCCCTCAACATCTAGTGTTGTTCGAGGCAGATTTTTACCATAACGCAACCAAAGTTAGTTTTTTTGTATCAATAATCTCTTTACTCGCAACTATACTTTTTTACCTCTCTTTCGACCTAACCAACGCATTTATTTTTAGCAATAACTATATGACCAAAATACACTCCTTTGAGAACATGATTGCGCAATGATCTAAGAATTAAAGGTTGAATACTCCACAGCAATTAATTATCTAGCGGTTATTCAAAAGCTATAGGCTTGTATCCTCATAAATCATTGATGCTTTTGGAAGGCCTACCATCTTTTACAAACATATTAATGTTTTTCAAAATAGACTCTAGATTTGTTTTGATAATGAAATCCTGAACTAACATAAAATAGAATTATTTAATTAGATAATTAAGTTTACTTTATTTAGACATTTTACACTTATCCCCACACTTTTCATTATAGTTATTTAATCTCGAAGAAGTATCAGCATAACTATTATTTTTGCCTTTAAAATGTGCGATTTTTTTATTATATTCTGATTGCATTACTTCCCAACGCTGCAGTACCAGCTAAAATTTGAGGTAAGATTTGTTCTATTTAGTATTAAGTATTAATAGGATTCAATCTGTCTAAAGAGTTAATTTAAATCTAAAAATAAGCTTATAATAATCACGTCTGAAAAAAAATCGGCAGCACCTTGCTTAGCGAAGCAGTTATCCATTTAAAAAATAATGTTAAGCTTTTATAATAGGTGGTATGTGAATCTGCGAAACTGCTGCTTTTTGTTCCTCAATCATATGTTACATCAAAGGTGGTGTAACAGTAAATTTTATATTTGGGTCTAAACTCTTGTTCAATAGCTTCAGGACTTGAGAGAAAGGGTTACAAACGGAGCACTGGGATGGAAATCAGGTTGATGATAGTACAGAAAGTTAGCTAGCTACTTGGCCATCAGCATTTGCACCAACGGCATGCAACCAGCCATTTATTTTAGTGTTATAGGTTGCTTCTTTTTAAATTAAGTTAGTCGTTTGTTCATCAGAATTTTAACTAGTGGCTTATAACGTAGCGTTGAAGATTGATTTTCTTAAATGAAGGGAGTATCCCCTCTATTGAGTAGATTCGCTGTAGAAAACTGTAGTACCGGCATAGTTTTCAATGCGTTGTATACATGCACATGTGAGTTTTAACCTAGCTTTTTACTCGTTTTTTCATTTATTAGTAATTTTACATCCACTGAATAGTTATTTAAAAAACAATAATGTGATCTTTATATATATTCGTCTCATAAAATAATATGACCTTAATCTTGACGTTATTTATTGAGAAATCAACAGTTGAAGAGGCAAAAATCGTGCATCTATTAGATACCATGTTAAATTGAAAGATACATTTTTATTAATAACTCGCTTCGAAAGCTGTGAACAGTCTTAAAATTTTAACTGAAGTTTTGTCTTGCCATTATTTACCTACATTTCAAATATAAAAATCTTGACGTTACTATACACAAAAGGGAATACTCCCTTAAAGCTAGTTGCTTGGCCGCTAGCATTCACACCAACTGGCACACAACGTGGCATTGAATCTTTATTCATGTGTGTATATATATAACCTCCCTGGCTACGAACATCCACGTTACATGGCATGCAGCAGTAGATTTTACTTGAAAAATTATAGGGGATGCTGAAAATTTTACTTCCAGTATAAATGTTTCTTACTTTTATTTTTATATACAAAAAAGGATTCACGAGTGACTTCTGAGGCAAGGTACAGGTGGCTGGATTTTACTAAAATAAGAACGAATTGACTGGATTCTCCAGGTCGTATTTGCTGTGAGGATGAAGATCAGCAGCGCTCCAGTGGATTTTTTCCAAGACCTGAACGTGTCGTAAGCAGATTGTTGGGCCGTGATACACACGGGCTCGATGACGTAAATATTCATTGCATTTAATTGAGAGCTCGTGGCACTCTGCACTTATAATATATAAAAGTTTGTGTAATAAGTTATCCATAAAAAATTTTTTAACCTATCACAGTGCTGTGTGCCTCCAACAAATATGAATGGCGATGATGTGGATGACACAAAAAGGTTATGGGCATATGCATGTGTATATACGTGTGTGTCTCTCTGAGTATGGTTGTTGACTGCAGCCGCTGTGCCGACGACGGTGACGACGGTACAAAGTGTACACTTTGCTTTTTGTAACTAAAGCAAAGACAGACTAGAGTTACTGTCAGCCAATTATAAATTTTTTCATGAATAACTTATTGTACTAACTTTCATATATTAAAAGGGCAGTGTGCCACGAGCTTTCAATTAGTTACAATAAATGTATATGTCGCCAAGTCCGTATGTATCACGGAAGAACAATTGACTTCCGACACGTTTAGATCTTGGGAAAAATCCGCTGGAGCGCTGCTGGTCTTCATCCTCATAGCTAATAGATGCACCAATCGGGTTCTCCAGGTCGTGTTTCTAGTCTGGCTATTGCTGGAGGTATACACCTAAGCTGGCCTGACTATCGAATGAATTGCTTGCAAAAGGAAACCATGGGCTTATATAGCCAAAAATCTTGTCTCCTTATCATTGCCACAATTGCCAGAAATAATGAAACGTACGTAAGTTCTTAGAATTAGTGTGCATTATCTCGTAGTAGGGAGAGAGAATAATTTTCTGTATCTTTTTCGTCTTTCTTTATATATTTTGTTTTTGTTGTTGGAGACATATATTTAATTGCTTAGGAATGTCATGGCTGCGATACTGGTCCCAGGGTTCACTTGTCTGCAATGTCAATGCGATCAAAAGTAAGTCGCATTACAGTTTACGCAATTTTTTGGCATGACAGCCTTTTATATCGTAACAGTGCTTTCTCGATGTAACACATGAATACCATTTAAATTAATGCCATCAAGTAAATAAAATTTCAGTTCAACATTAACTGATGCTAAATATTGATTAACATGGTGTCAACCAAAACGGGAAATTCGAGAAATTTACAGGAATTTTTTTGACCCGGAAAATATACGGGTATTTCACCTATTCTTAACGAATTTATGCATCTTTTTTAGGGGTTTCGAAAAATTTTTTGCGTTACGTGTTTGTTTTTAATGTTCACACAAGAGATGAGTACATGCTTGCAGAATGGAGAAGAAGCAAAAGGAATGCTGAGATTTGTAAAATTGTGTTATCACTTGCCCTCAAAATAGGTATAGTTATGTGAGATAAGAGAGGGGGAGAAGAAAAGATATGAACATGATAATATAAAGAGACAGACGATGAAAGAGATTATTGGTATCGTTCAATGCAGTATAGAAGAGAAAGATAGAATGTGTGTGTGTATGTTTATACATTATTACGAGGGGTGCGCGTGTGCAATTCGTACGCCCAAATGGTGCGAAGCAACCAACTAAACCGCTGGACATCAATCCGTTCCAAAGCACCTGTAAAGATACTTAACGATACCCAGAATCGCTAGCTAAAACTAGCCTTGCCGCTGATTCGAGAGCACGAGAAAAGAGCCGAGCAGTGGTGCCGAAACGTGGAGCTGATAAAGCACGCAGGGACGAAAAGGTCTATAGTCTATGGTTATTTACGAAAGACAATACGTGAGCCTTTTTGCTGCAGTTGCTAATGGTATAACTCTTTTTTTTTACCAGGTTACTGCGACAGCCTGTTGGCCTAGACGCCAGGACCACCCACTCACCTCTGTGTGGGGGTGAATTGCCACACCTATTTCCAAACTCTTACTTTATATCATACCTAACCATGCCATGAGCCCATTGTGAGTACCTTCAGTAAAACACCTTGCCAGTTAAGCTGACACTTGCAACTGTTTAGTCTTTCCCGGGAAAAAACTTCGTTTTTCAGAACGTTCATTCGTTCCCTGTTAAGCCAGTGCTTTTTACCGAAGTATCGGATCTAGGCTAATTACGGAGAAACCCCATGTTTCAGAGACCACTCCACCTGGGCGAACGGTGAAATTTTGTTGCTTACGGTGGTATAATTTTAAATTTTCTACCATATTAAGTCTCTTAGTTAACTCACGAAATGTAATAAAATACCAAACAATTAAAAAATTATTGATTTAACGAGTGACACCAGACATAAATTGATTTTCCATTGGAATAGCATGGAATTTCCACATTTTAACTTTGTTCACTTTTTTGACACTTAAAATTTTTTTTTTATTATTTTTTTTAAACAGTCCAAATTGTTCACATTTTGCTTAAATTT